TCGGTGTCAAAACCCTCGTAACTCGATGTCAAAACTCTCAGGCACATGTAAACATCTCAAATCTCTGAAGAACACTCGATCTTAGTTAGTGGCTGTTTCTCATCAGCGCTGCATTTGCGAAGTTTGCTCAGGGTAATCCGAATCACCTCGCCAACCTTGTCAGCATCATCCTTGCTGAAGGTGGCTAACTTGCTCACCTCACCGCCATCTATATGGCACTGATAGATTGCCTGCGCAATCTTGGTCTTGTTTACCGCAGTGTTAGGGCACAGGATCAGCAATTCCTGGAACACAGCAGTGTACTTGGAAAGTATTCCCAACGCGGTCTTCGGCGTGCTGGTCCAGTTGCATTGCCCTTCTCTGGCCATCTGAAGCATATGGTGTAGGTTCCTTCCTGTCTCTGCCATGCCCTTTTCTAATGCTTCTTGAAGGTTGACCATGGAAACATTCCCATCAGCTGACAACCGTGAGCGCTTGGTTTTCAAAGCCATGGCATACGGAGACGTTTTCTTCGCGTCTCTCTAAATCAAAAGGTGGTGCTCAACGCGTTCAAGGGTTTCTGGTTCTTGAAATCTTTGGATTGCGTCGTGCTTTGGTCTCTCTAAACCGCTCAACGCTTTCAATCAACCACTGTTGGGCCAATGTGGTCCAGATACTGCGACGAACCAACTTGCGAGTTTGAAGCCCTAGTTGCTGCGTCTGGGTCAAGCAAACCTATACTGAACATCAAGCCTGCCGACTCTGTGGAAGCTCTCCAAACTCTCCAAGCAAATTCCCTCAAAACTCTCTCAAAGCAAAGCTCTCAAAACAGTAGCCATTCCATGAAGTTGGTCCCTTTTGCTTCCCCTGCAGCTTTGGTATCGTTCGATTGTGTTCAGCTGAAGGAAAACACTCAAACTGGATTGGCTGCATTCAATATTGGATTGGCAGCGCCACAGATCACAATAAGGCACCTGTACACATGCATCATTGAACCCTGAACCACTCGAGTAACTCTCAGAACACTCAGAACCCTCCAACACCACCACCACCTGCACCACCACCACCAACAACAACAACTTATATACACTCTCAAGATTCGTTTGTTTCCAATAATAAATTTTGTTTTATTTTTTGGGAAATGGAATTTTGTAATTTTGGAAACAAAAGTTTTATTATTTGATGATAAATTTTGTTTATCAAAAACATAAATTTTATAAAAACAATAAAATTTTCTAAAAATAATAAACCCATTTTGTTTTATCATTTTCAAGTGATTTTATCTTAAAGGATTCTTATGGTCCAGCTCTTTCACGACCGGAATAGGGATGGGGACCGCCTCTTTGAGTGTTGTTGCCCGCTCGCTAAGAACTGAAGCCTGCAAGGCTAAGAACCGATGATCATCAAAAGCAGGTGGGTCGATTGCCAGCTTGCTACAAATCCACTTGATGGCCGCCCTCAGAGTCGGAAGCACCGATGGTCCACACGAACGACCGTTCAAAAACATGCCATATTTCAGAACCTTGTCGATCGTCAATGGGTGAACGACCATGCCCACGGCGCTTGCCCATTTCTCGAATCGTTCGAACGTGCGAACATGCCCCGCCATGGTGCGATGTGCACCTGAGACCAAAACCAAGTTCCTGAGCTGCATCTTCTCAGCGGCCGACAAGTTCGGACCTAGGTGTGCCTCTTGAAAAAGCTTGGCATGTTCACCGGCACGAACACCAATCTCCTCAAGCCGAACGGCCCAACGTTTCTTCTCAGACCTCTCCTTGTCGAGAAGGGGGGTTGAGGATGATGAACTATCCTGAGCCGTTGTCTTGGCCCGCTTGGGCTGAACCATGGGTTTGGCGGTCAGGTTGGCGATCGCCGATCTCTTCCTGAGTGAAGCGGAGGGATCCCCGGACGAGCTCGATGAGGGTCCGACCAATTCACACAACCCAAAACCTAGCTGAAGAGCAGTCGACTCAAAGTATGCCTTCTCGATCGACATGGATAGGGTCCAAAACTGCTCCAGCATAAGTTCACGACCGTGAAAAACTCCAACGACAGACTCGTCCCACGATCGTCCAAGCCCATACACTCTCTCCACGAAGTCCGAACTGGACTCAGCCTCCATGGCCGAGACGAACGCCACCGAATTCAAAGGCGTTTTCTTGATGGCCTGGGCGAACGCGGCATCAAACACGGGGAGATCTAGGATCTTGGACGTCCACCGATCGGTGGTGAACATGTTGGTCAACCACCTGATCATTCTTGAGCCTAGTCGTCTCACAAGCACTTCGATCGAAATGACTTCGCGTCATGATCAAATGCGAACAGACATGCAGCTCAACTCACGATCAATCGAACATGCGACACCTCTCAGTATCAGAACCTCAAAACCTAATAGAAAAAGAGGAGGTCACCGAGAGGGAGAGGGACACCACTAGAACTAGTAGCAGGGACACGCCAGGCCTAGAACGGTCAGCTCCCTTGAACAAGGTGCCGACGCAGAACGGCTAGTGCGCCCCTGAGCCCCCACGACCGACTTCCCATCTGAGAATCTTGCCTCACGCGAGCCGGTATCACGGCCGGAGCACACGGCCGAACGGCGTGATCGAATGTCAACTCAAATCAAACTACTATCTAAATCTATGGAAGCCGTTGAAAAATAAAATCAAACTCAAATGAGCATTCGCTACCACTCCAAACTTTCAGCTCTGATGACGTCTCATCTCGATCGAATCCAATCGAGAGCGGTCAATCAAATTCCAAATTCAAATTGAAAATTGTGATCACACTTCCGTGACCTCGTCCGGCTTCACAGGCTTGAACGATCTTGGTCCAGCCTGGCCCCCATCTGGGCCATCCTCAACAATCTCATTGATCCGGACTGATGAGGTCCACTGGCGATCTGGCCCACCCGCACCACGCCATCCGCTGCCGTAGTTGCGAGCCGCCTCCACGAAAGCCTGGGGCGTCATTGCCGACTGGTCCAGTGGCTCATTGCGCCTGTGCTCAAGCGAACGTCTTGGCGGAGCAATTGATCCACCAGTCCACGAGCTTGGTGCAGGAGCCTGACCAGGATCCGTCATCGATGGCTTGGCACTGCTGACTGGCGCAGCAGGGATGCCGCGGAAGTCGCCTGAGCCTGTCAGAGCTGGCGCTAGCTTCGGAGCACTCTCAAGAGGACGAACAGCAGGGCCTTCCACGATCGGGGGGAGGACATTGGCCATGATCTCTTCCTTGGGATCGTGGTGCTGCAGTGCGAGAGCATCCGCGTTCACGATCGCACGCTGATTGCGAAACAACGGGCTTTCACAGACCAGGTGCATGTTGATCGGGTTGGACTCGACCGCAATGCCCGAGATGCGGGGTCCCGTATCATCGATCGATACTGCCTCGACCTGAGCCGTCCAGTGGGCGTGGATCGCCGCCAACTGACTGAATTGGAGCGCCTGATCAGGTCCTTCGACTCTAGCTCCATGCTCTCGACACCACTTTGCGTTTCTGATCAAAGTAGGGCCGGAGACTCGGCTGATGACCAACCACGAAGAAGGGATCGATGCCGTATTGCATGCGACATCCAAGCGATCGCTGGCAGACCAAAACCGCATTTCCAGGCGGTCTGCATCAGCGCCGAACGCGTCCGGCGAGCTGGTTGCTGTGAATCTGCATTCAAAGTGGCACAGCGGATGATCAAGTGCCACAACAACACCTCCTTCAGAGCATGCGTACAAGCGACCGCCAACTTCGAAGGAGATTGCCACCACACGCCAGCCTTGGAAGACCGTGATGACGATGCTTGGGATGAACACGGTATCGTTCAAGATGTTGAAGATGGCGTCAGCTACATGGATCATCTGAATGCTCATATCAGAATCCGAACGGAACCCACGAAGCTCAAGATGAACGAGCAGCTGACCCTCCAACTTCATCTTGATATCAACCCAGGTCGGGCTAGACTCAGTCATGGGCGGCCAGCGAAAGGGCTGAAAAGCCGAGTGGCTGAGCACCTCCCCCGTCGCCGCATCCCATCGAGCGCAGGGTGCACTTGAGTAGCACGTTGCCGACCCGCAGATGATCACCTTGACACTGTCCAGGGTGCGTACCAGGAACAAGTTGAAATGATAACCTGTCGAGGGTGACTTCACCAGCGATCGATCGGACTTGACGTTGAGGTAAGTCAGAGCATTGGTGAGCACTTCATCGAGCAGCCAATTCTGAAAAGGTGACTGGATCCTTTTGTCACGGTTGTCAATGATCAGAATCGATCGTTCCCCCTCACCTGAACCAATCTGAGATAGATGATCCGGCAGTGCAGTATTGAGCGGATTGTGACCCAAATTGCCTGGTGCCAAGTTTCCCCACCGATAGGCTCGTCTTCCTCGTCGAGCAGCTTGCTCCTGACGCTCTCTCAAGCGCCTGGATGCAGGAGTCTCGTTCGTGTGGTTGAGAAAGCTCTGTGCTGCCTGCAAGACTGGAGCCGCTGCCGAACTTGATGGAGGACCCCCAGGAGGTGGTGGTGGTGGAACAACTTGTGGAGCTGCCGACGAACTTGCCTCAGGCTGAGCAGCCTGGCTAGTGCCATCACCTTCTTCACGAACAGGATCCATAGAGGGCTCTGGCCATGGATCCTCCAATGTTGGTTCAGCTTCCAGCTGGACCCACGAGCTGACCGAGCTGGTCTCATCAGCACGACCAGATGCGTTGTACATTTGCCTTCGAAGAGCGGCCGGCATGGCTTTGAACTTGGGCATGGACTTGCTCTTCGGATCCGCCATTGCTCCCAGGCCCTGAAAAGGACGAACAAACCTTGTTCTTGCCTGGCAATGATCTCTCGCCAAAATGGCATCGAGAGGAAACGAAAGTCGATCGATCAAGCTGAACAGCAAACACGAAAGTGCTCCTCCTGTTCCTACCTACCAGACCAACAACATGAGAACCTAGGGGCTCCTGGCATCGCTACTAGGAGCAAGGACGCTACTAGGGGCTCCATCTTCAAGTTGTTCGGTTTCAAGTCGCCACCGAGGCTCTCGCTTCAACAAGCCACTGGCTAATTGAAGGCGCATATCGTAGAAGGCCCGGTGTGTCTTGGCCACGAGGATGAGGCCTCCCATGGGTCTTAGTAGGTCAATACTCCATAAACTACGTGCCCGTAGTGATTCATGGAGTGACATGTGTGACTTAGAGTTGTCTTAGACTGGAATGATGACAAGCACAGCCTCTATCTTAATGTTTTGAATTTGTGGCTTCTGACATTCCGTCCCGCCTGATGTTGGCACATCTAGCCGGTGCAGAAAGCCGTGGCTGAATGCAGAGTCGCCTCAACACCCATGATTCCCATGTCTGCAGAAATCAAATAGTGCACCTTCTATGTTTTCCGCCACAAACATGGGACAAACATAGACAAACAAACATCAAACTAATCCAACGATCAACGATCAACAACTTTACAAACACTTACAGTACCAACCTCACAAAGGGATCTTGAATCAACACGTAGTCTCCAGCACTCAGCCGTTTGCCACAGCAGCTTGTTGACTAACGACTCACATGACTGCTGCCACACCGGCTGTTGTTACTGATCCTGACATCCCACAACTCGTAAGCAGTCGCTAACAAATGAACGCTTGACTTTCACAAGCACATGGCTCTGAAACTCCACAAGAACGCTGCTCAATCCGATTTGGGTACCCGCACTCAGGAGATGGAAGCGGCGCAAAGATGTCATACTCCGTACCTGCTGCATCAGGCCCGGAAGACAAACAACAAGGCACAATAAAGCATCGCCCAGAAGTAGCAAACATCTCACATACCGTCACATACCCATTAATTACTTATATAATAGATATAAATATATCACGAGAGACTTTCAACCTTATCTTTCTACATGTCGGCGCTCAAGGTCGCCAAGGTACCAGTGTAGACAATAAGGACACATCTTCAGCTGTATTCTGATGCCCATCATCCACCTGCCACCCTGAGGGCAATAAAGCTCCAAAACACAAGGCCAGTGATGCTAGCATCAACGGCATAGAAAAGATTGTAACGCCAGTGCGTTAATTACGGTTCTCTTCATGTTTATCTACAGTATCAAATGCACTCCCTTTTTGCAGTGCTCTCGTCAATGTCCTAGATTCGCAACATCTAGACCGAAAGTGTTCCAAAGGCCGTCTGCCCATTTCTCTGTTTAATGGTTTTGTTGGTGCCCTTCTCTCCCTGCCTGCTGGCTTCTGCAAGACTGCGACATCCCCAGTCTCCAGCAAGAGAGGAAGGCCCGCATTGATGCTGGAGCTCCTGTTGTACTGTACATTGAACAAACAGTGAGCAGCTGCCGATTGGCAGCAAAGACCTCTCCTGTTGTGCGCAGCTCTATATTCCCCCGTATCTTTGGACGCTTCTAGCCCAACCCTTTATGCACACCTGACTGGCTCCATTGCAAAGCATCCCTCGAGCTCGGTCAGCTGATACCTTCGATAGAGCCAGAAACTTTGATCGACGTGCTACCAGTCCATGCGAAACACAACATGGGTGGCATCTCATGGCAGGGGCTCCTGACATCGCTACTAGGAGCAAGGACGCTACTAGGAACAAGAAGCTATTTGAAACACGGAATTGTCATTCATTATAATATAACGTGCTTTTATCGACGGATTTTCAGGCAACACAAAAATGTTTTTCAAGACCTCTTGCCATTTCATTCCCCTCCCCCTGTAGTCTGCTGAGGCACAAGGTTTGATGCGCGAAGTCCAGAAATCGTTGGGACCTCAAAGAACTTCTACCTTTTCTCCCAACCTGGGCCCTTCAATGACAACAGTGAATAGGCACGATTGTGGGATACCCACGTCCGCTCGTTGAAATATACATGTCATTACATTTCCATCCAATTGGTGGCGCAACTGCTAGCTTTCTCCATGTCTCGCAAGCTTGCTTCTTGCTACAGTATAAGACATAACTACTACAGTTTGATCTGTCCAACCACTTCGAACCTCTTTCACAAGCAAATGCAACTAATTTCAGCCAAAACGCAAGACTCCTGCGTAGTTCAAGGACCATACGACACCGAGCCTTGCACAGAACACGGACAGAACATCTAAGGAAGACATCTAAGGAAGAATGAATCATTTAAGTTAATAATCAATATCACGGAACCAAGAAGAACTGAAGGACTTCGGCAACCTTCCAGAACGTACTATAAGGACACGCATAAGTGTTCCTACTCCAAAAATCTCTGCACACAATCCTGAATGCAAAAAAGCACGCTTTTAATCAAAGGAAAAACATGCGAGGCGAAGTGGACGTGTCCGAATCAAAGGCACATTCCTTCCGCATAGTCTCTTGCCATTGGATCGGTGCAAATGCTGGCATGGTCGGCCAGAAGTGCCTCGGACCAAAGGACAGCGTCGATCACATGCAATACATCATTGAGATACACCCAATGCATTTGGGCATATAAGTTGCAATCTAGGTTGGAGGCCATCCCTATTAATAGGTTTCTTTTACTTTTCTTTTGTTTTGGGCATATCTGGGTTGCAATTTACAATGATCTCTTGAATCCGCCATGGACTATGACTATGGACTCTCAACCATAACGACTCCCGCAAAGGCTTGAAAAGAAGGAGAGCAAGAAGGCAAGGGTGACGGTCATGGGTAAAATAGTGGGGCATTTGGTTTCAAACACCAGCATTAAGCAAGGCAATAGCAAACGTCCAAGAGTGTTGTCTGAAGAGTCTTTGAATGTTGAACCCCACTGAGTTGGTCTCGGCCCTTGACCAGCATTCAACGGCTCTTTTCCACCATTTCTCTGCCTCACAAAGTCTCGCTGTCAGGACAAAGGAATCGGTGTCCACCGTCCCAACATATGTTGTAAGATACCCTTTACCTCTGCCTCGCTGGGCTCCCAATTGCTGCTGGCCACAGCAGCATAAGGCACACCACATTTCACCAAAATCATGCACACGTGCTTGCAGCGTCTTTGGCTGCCCCAACGCCGGGCATCCGCACAGGTGCATGATGGAGGCCACAAGTGTCGAAAACCCACGGTGTGTTGAACCGTTCCATCTGGACCAATAATGTCAAAATCAACGCCATCGTCTGCTCGTCTGCCAAATCTACAGTCGAAACCGTCTGTTTTGGCATTTTGCCAGTCATCCATAGCTATTTTCGCCACTTCTTGTTGTGGGACCATGGTCTCTACATCATCCGCTCTGGGGTTTGCTCTAGTACCTCCTTCTCTCAGATCATGGATTCTCTGAATCAAGTCTCGCTTCGTGAGCCCATCACATTCAACCTCATAATCTTTCAATATCTCCAACAACTCGCGCTTCCGAAGGTTGAACAAATTCTCAGTTGCGTGGACACACACTCGCAATCTCCGAAGCGGCCGATGAGCTTGGCAGAAATTCTGATCAGCACCCCGTAGGCCCCGCAGGAAGGTTGGAGCGGTGATGCAAAACGCAAGGCAAAGGCCGCAGGGTAGACTAGTCAAGCACCACAAATGCAATCGTCTCTGCAAAGACTTCATGCTGCACGCGTGAGATGTGCTTGCTTTAGTGTGGTCTTAAGGATGATTGCCTAGAATTTGATGGTAATTATCTGCTTGCACAAAACAGCCTCTGCTGAAAGTCTGGCAAAGTAGGGTTTATGGACTGTGTAACAGTAGTGGCAACACTTGATGTTGTCTAATCCGCTGCAAATCTAAGAGCCTTACCAAATTATGAAATCCATAGAGCACATCAACTCTCCACATCAACTCAACAAAAGAAGGTGCTTTACTGTGGTCCCTTTACTGTCCGTTCCAAGGCGGAACACCAACGAAAGGGGCCGAACGAGCCAAAAGAGCCAAAGGCTCGGCCAAGCTGCCTCACCACGCACAGTTAGCGTCCGCTCCACGGAGTCAAAGATCGAGCCTGGGCGTGGTCCAACTGCTTAAGTGAAAGTTCCCTTTTCCAGACCTCCATGTTCAAATTCCTCCTGGAATCTTGATGGTTTCTTGAATTCAAACACAAAACGACTTTGTCGGACTTTCCCAGGTGCTCCAAGAGTGTCGTTGGATTTGGGCTGTGTGGTGCAACACATTTCCCTGCCTGATGACAAGGACGATGAAACTGCAAAGGCCCAGGCCACATTGGCCAGCTCCTGTCAACGGAGCTCCACATGACTTGCGCACGCAACAGACAATCGCTAAGTGGTTTAAGAGGTAAGACAATGTCTTGCCAGACATAAGCGAAACCCCTTGCTGGTGAACTCATCCTTTGACCGCTATTTTCAGGTTTGGTTTCCTTTGACTCAAGCATGAATGACAGTCACCGTTGCACAGGCTTCATGTTGTCCACAAAAATACTGGATTCATCTGGATTCTCCAATTTGACTATGTGTGGTTGAATCATAGATTGACATTGATTATCAGCGTTAGACACACCATCAAGGGCCCATCCTGCGTCTGCAGGCTGCCCTCAATCTTCAGCTCAAGCGAAGCTGCAGCTTTGTGGAACAAGTCCCTGTCAGTAACCTGATCAAATACTGGGATTCATGGTTCCTTTTTTTCTGCGTGTTGCAAGTTTGAGCTATGATTAAGGTCTTGGATGCAATCAGGTAGCCAACATGGATGCAAAGGATCTTAGCAAGCTCACCAACCTCAGCAAGGTTTCATTCAAAAACCACATTGCTGCCCCGACACCACTGCAATCAAAGGCGACCAAACTCAATTATATAATGGAGAGGAACGATATTTATCCATGATACAGATTCACAGTAGCATTGATGAGGGCACTTGCAATAGGAGTCATTAGGATATACATATATATACTATATACATGAAAACACGAAGGCAACACATTAAAGAACAGCAATAGAACCAAATGCAAACATTGCCGGTGTTTTGCTCGCTTGTGCCCATTCAGAATCTTGTCCGGATTGTCTGGCTGGTACTGTCAGGTTTACAACGGTTTAAACATGGTTTACATACAATCTTAATCCATCTTATATGCATAACAGCTCGCAGTTGCAACTACCTTCCATCTCTGTAGCGGCTGCATGGTCGATTCTGATGGCTGGCAACATTGAAGCGAAGGAGTGTGCTGCGACGAGTGGAGGGACTCCAGTCCCACACTGGCTCCTACGATGGGACCTGATACCTCCATGGGTCTACAGCTTGTTCCTAGTAGCGATGCCAGGAGCCCCTAGTAGCGTCCTTGCTCCTAGTAGTAAGGCCAGGAGCCCCTAGTAGCTTCTTGCCCCTAGTAGCGATGCCAGGAGCTACTAGTAGCGTCCTTGCTCCTAACTCTGGCAAAGAACGTCCTACGTGATTCAAACCAGTCTCGTCGAGCTCCAAAACTTTTTGGCATCAAGAAGGACACTGTCCCAATCCCAATTTGGAAGCTTGCCTAATGTCCACTCCCAATTCCAATCAGTCAAATGGAAGGAATAACAACAGTTCTCGCAAATTACTATCACACACTGAATAGTTTAGTTGGTGGGAATAATAACAGGTCTTTCGCCCAAGGTGTGTTTTTTCTCAGGTCTGTCTTGTCTACTACAGTAATACTACTTATACTATTTATTTACCATATAATTTTGGTGGGCTTCACACTATTCACTCTCCCTCGATTGTTTGCTAGGGAGAGCTTTTTGTTGGCTATTCAAAATCAATCTACTTTGAAATGCTTTGAGCACAAGTTCTAGGTACTCTTGACATCAAAGGTGCTGTTTCACTTTGAACTCGTCCACCAAACCAGTGGCTTCTCTGGCCCCTTGGAGGGCCTTCAGCTGCGTCTGCGAGGAAGGTGCCTGCTTTGAAAGGTACCTTCAGTGCATTGAGGCCCCGAAACCAAAGGAAGGCGTAGCAACATCACAAAATATCATTAAAAAACACGATATAGTTGTCAAGTGTAGCCAAGGCAGCTCCAATGATATCACCAGTGGGAAAACACAAACTCGCAACAGGGCACCACATGGCTTGGTGCAGCTCCGTAGCGCTTCCCCTTCCAAATCCTCAAAATGGCTGCAATCCTCACATCTACTAGGATTCGCTGGAACCAGGCGCGACCAGTCGTTTAGACACATGAAGGACCTACTAGCCAACACCGTAAGTCACACCACCTCGCTATAAGTCACCACAACTGCCACGCAAAGGCTCTTGCTGTTTCTTAGCTCTGATATAGAGCTTTGTGCATCTTTGTGCGTGCAAGTGAAAAGATCGGAGGAAACACGTTTGCGCAGTGCGGCGGCGGACGCTGCAGTGAAGATGCCAGGCTGGTCGAGGATCTTAAGCACAACTTGCCACTGCAATGCTTTTTCACAAGCAGTGATCACCTGGGCAGGCTGGGAGACAGGGGAAGTTTACCTGGAAATTCCCGAGTTGCAAAAATAGCACTGCCAAAGATGTAGTATCTTGGGGGTTGCTGGTAGGCTGGGAATCGGGAGGTAAGATGGCCAGTAGCAAGGCTACAAAGAAAAGCAAGGAAGCTGCTACACGCAAGGATGCGAGGAACCCTTCGCATGGTCCAATGGCCGAACGATTTTTAGATATTAGAAACAAGAAGCTACGAACGTAACAAGTGCATCGCTTTTTAAGAAAGTAAACATCAGTAATCACTGCATAGTGGGAAAGATGTCAATGTCGCAGAACACGCTACACTTTTGCTGGGGAATGCAACTGCAGTTGCGTCAGGCCTTGAGCACTTTGTTCATTGCAACAACGTGTCAAGGTGCGCAAGTGGGGCCTGAGTCTAAATTACATGCAAAGTATACCTGCCAGTGCATTTATATATCTTGAACCTACCAACACCGGACACCGACACCTCAATTCTCCGTCATGGCTTCTCTCCATTGAACGACGTAAAACCTTGAAACCTTTTCAGTGTTGGCCCTATTCTGGTTGGGTGTTCAGGACAACAAATGGATTGTAATACTCCCAGCAGAACATTGGAGTATAAGGTCCTGACTAAACTCGCTATATATTGTTTGTGGGTCGACACATTGTCTTATATTGCTTGCCCACAAAGTTTCAACCAATTAGCACTTTACATTGTCTTACATTGCTTGCCCACAAAGTAACAACCAATTAGCATTTAGCATGGTTTAACTTGCGGCAGGGCGCGGCACTGCGCGTAATGGCACCAGGTGTGAGTTGACAGCGGGGCATTTGCTGCAATAAATGTAAGGCAATGGTCCAAATGGATTCCCCAGCACAGGCGCTGATGCAAGCATTGAAACTGATCCTGGCCACTGGCTGCCACACACTGTAGTTACTAGTTCTTTTTACTGACACCACATAGAATGAGAGGATCAAAGAATGCAAAACACATCAAACTACAAATTATTGTATTTCCGACTGTGCGGTTGTTCCATGACTTCACCTTCTTATCAACAGGCACCAGTCAACCAGCGACATTTCTGCAAGTGTGTCAGGTGAGGTCAAGCCACAATCCCCAAACGTCCGATCCTGTCTGGAGATTGCCGCCTTTGGGAAATCTCCTGAGGGTAGCACTCGGCTGAGAGGACACCGAGGTACTTTAAAAAGCATGTTTAGCCTTTACGCTTCAAACCAATGACCAACAGTGTCTCTCTCATTTCACCAGGGCTATATATATATAATATATATATATATATATCTGAACTTTCTGGGAGAAAAATAAAGAGAAACAACGACTGCTGTGAGGTTGAAGGCTCATAACCTGGATGAACCATCGTTGCTTGCTGGACCCTTTAGGCTCATTATATAGACAACTAGCAAGATCCCTTTCAATGAAGCTTTCCAGATTTGATGAGCTTGCCGTCAACCGCTTTGTGCAACAGCCTAACCCAAGCTTCAACACAAACATCCTTTTGGTTTATTGCTATACACAAACGGGCTTTCCTCTACAGGATCTCCATGAATATGCAAATGCTGAGACCGGTCCCCTGTGAGACTCCACAAGTCATGAAATATACATGAATCATCATGAATCTGAATTGTCATAAGTTCTGCCTTCATACAATTGACCATTTGACCTTTCTAATCACTGACACTTTGGGTTGCGTAATTTCGGCCTGGAAGATGTTCAAGGCCATCTGCCACTTGTGGCACTTCTCACAAGCGCTGATGGCAGCATTGAAGCAGCTCAGTTGTGGCCTTCTTGGGAGAGCGCTGTATGTTATCAAGGCATTTGTAAAGAATTTCCACAACTTGGATCAACTTGGCAAGACCCTTTCACCACAAGGTTAGTATCAGTACAAGTACCATAAGCACTTTGGCAAAAGCCATCCGTGTCCCAAACATGACTCGACCAACTTTAGATCTTTTCCGGGGGAGACAACCCAGAATGCCTTGGATACCACGAGGGACATCTCAGCGTCTTTGCACTCCCCAGTGAGGTGGTGAGTTCCCGCGATCAAAACCTTCTCAAGACGCCCCCATGAACTTAGTGGCTCGATTGAGTTCACACGCACTCAAGCACCTCACCGCGTGTGCTTCTTCCAAGAGTGCCAACGCCTCACGCCACCGGAAGGCCTTCTCACCTCGTTTCCGGAGTGCCGGCGTTGCCAAGTTGGGACAGTGGTCTGCGATTCGGAGACTCAGCGATTTAGCTCCTGTGAAGTCCTGCAAAGCTACCATAGAGTTGCAAAGGCTACAATTGCCAACCAGGGGTTGTCTTGTTTGGACAATTGTCATAGCCACCTCAAGTCAAGCGTAGAAGCAAAACCTGAAGGCCATTTCTTTAGGACGAGTCACAAGCGCTGATGGTAGCAGAATAGCTGGCATTGCTGGGACGCATCTTTCGCTTCATTTCCTGCAGGACTTCCAGCGCCAAAGTCCATTGCCCACCTGCAAGGACAAATGGACACCAAAACAAACGCGAGAGTCGCTAGAGTGATATACCCCCAAGAAAATGGGAATAATTTGCCACTCTTACACTCAACATCGTAGGATGGTTCTTCTTGAGAATTCGTCCAGCCTTTGCCACAGGCACTGATGAGGGTGTTGTAGCAAACGACGTCAGCATGTACCTCCTGAAAGCCAAGGAGGTTTGTAGGAATTAAATAGAACTATATTTTCTCGATTGAGGTTTGCAGTCGGATTCCAGCTTCCCAAACAAACGGAGGGCAGCTCCTCTGCTAACATCTCTTTCATGAGGGTCAGTGCGGCCTGCAAAGAAAGAATAATGAGAGGAATGGATAGGCGGACTATGGCGGACTGGATGGACATTGCACAAGCCCTCTGAAAGTCTATTATGATCTACTATGAATTGAGCACCGGAGATTTCTGTACGTCTTGGGTGAAATTAAATGATCCTTAACCACACCCATACAGCTTCAATCTCCACCTGCCAAGCTGTTGACTTTCCACAGGCGCTCAAAGCTGCACTGCAAGCGAATAGCTGTCTGCGCGATGGAGGGGTCTGCTGCAGAAGGTCCAATGCCTGTCCAAAAAATGCGCTGATTACTCTTCAGAACGTCGGGGCTTGTGATGACCGGTGGATTTAGATGATAAAACGGATTCCTCTTTTGTGTGGATGGCCCAGGGTTTCTTTCAAGTCCTGCTCCTCAATCTGGCCAAGCATAGGGGGCATCAAATCAGCCGGCTTTGATTGATTTAGTGTGAGGTGGTGATGTCAACAATTGCAGGAATCTTTTAACAAAGGACTCCTGATCGCAACGCAGAATAGGTGGCTGGCAGGCATGAATGACTCTTGGCCTTTTTTGCATACATCCGCTGTTTCTTCAACATGGAAAACCTGTTTCTGAATCCTCGAAGAAGCTCTGCAAATTCACGACTGGTAGCTCTAGGCTAAACAAAGGCCTCAATCGCCTCCTGAATGGTTGACACAACTGAATCCTCTTGCCCCTTGGAACACTTCAACGAGTGATCACCACCCTCAACTTTCACCAAAGTGTGCTTGCACTTTGCTTTCTTCAATGTGCCCTTCAGGAGCTTAAAGTCTCCCATGAAGGGATCTCGAGTTCCGGACAGGAACAGTACCCGAGTGCTTGCAGGAAGCTCAAGGATTTTGCGTTCTCTGTGCTGAGTGGGATGGAGCAAGGGGTATCCAAAGGCAATAATGCCTTGCACATTGTGAGGCAGCTGCTTTCGAACGTCTGTGCGAGCAAAGAGGTGTACAGCCGCACGTGCACCAAAAGAATGCCCAACGAGGTATATTGGTCTCCCGCTCTGGTTCGCCTTGCTGGCTGCTTTCATCTGCTTCAGAAGCTCTTCAAGAATCCGTGTCTCATGCTGCTCGGTCAAATTCAACGCCCCGGAAAGCTTGATGTGTTTGACACTTCCAAAGCGTCCGAGAAGTGCCTGTCGAGATCGTCCACCACCCGCGCCCGGTGCGCAAAGAAAGATTGGAGATTTAGTGGATGAAGCTGGGCGTCGAGCTTGCGAAGCGGGGCGCCGCAAGACCATTGCCGCCGGGGTATAAGAAGCAAGCGATTAAACGACACGGGCTACAGTAGTCTGGCGACATGGGGCGTCAATGCAAATCATTTTTACACTTACTGTCACTTACTGCATGACCAGGAAATTGAAGAGTGTGCTTTGAGTGGGTCAACATGTGACAAATTGACTGTCCCTGTCATGCAAGGTCTACTAGCAGCTGCAAGATACGTAAAAACATACATAAACTATGTATAGTAATGCCCTTGTTACTAGTAATGCCAGGAGCCACTACAGTAGTAGCCTCTTGCTACTAGTAGTAATGCCCTTTATCAGATTGCTCTTGAGCCCGGGAGCGAACAAAAAGTACATCAACTACTAGCAAGAAGCTACGAACGTAACAAGTGCATCGCTACTAGTAACAAGGTGCCTTACTACTAGAAACAAGAAGCTACTAGTAGCAACGTGCATAGGACATCCATGTGGAGGTACCGCTATCGGCCGTAACACCCGCACCCGCACCAGCTGCCCACCTCCTTCCAGCGACTTCCACTGGCCCATGATCCCAATGCAACGTTCTGCATCGTAGGAGAGTCCAGGCTGTTGTGGATGCTGGAGAGGAACAAAGACAAAGCTCTGGGCCACCTACAAACATCAAAGCGCCAAGGCAGCTTGCTAGATTGATGATTCTACTGATTCCCCAAACGCCTTTGCACCATTGACAATGCCAAATCACCGAAGGCCAACATGCCAACTTAAATTTCCTGCATTTCCAAAAGGAAACATGCATGCAAATTTAATACAATTATCATACTGTAAGTATTACTGTAATACAAATGATAGTCAATGATCAGAGCCGCATTGATGCATTCTTGTAGCTCGTCATGGCTGCTGAGCATTGATATGCATTGAACTGCAGCCCGTTCTCCTTTGCAAGAACAAAATGCTTCAACACAGTACATGAGGGATCAACCATCCCAGTGAATATAATGTGTAGAGTAGGCTTCAATCATATCGTACTGACACCACAACTATGGATGTCAAATATGATGCCTTCTCCAATTCTGCACCATCTTTTACCATGGAATGCACAAACCCTGCAAACAAAGGAATCTCCTGGATTTAGGGTTGTAGGTCCCTGTACCTTCAATGTCAATTGGCCGAAACATCGTTCCTTCAGATTTTGGGAGAGGTTTTGCAGCGACAGACCACAAGCTCTCTCCTTCATGACCGCAAGCGCATGCTCCAAAAGGGTGGCATCTGCAGTTCGTAGAAATGCCGTCACTTTTGTGGGATCTTTAAATCCGTAGATCTGCTGCAATCGAACTGATCTGTGACCCAGATCTTCTGATCCAAGTGAAGTGGAATAAAGAGGTGTTCCTCAGCAATGAGAATCATGTCTTCTGGCGCAACCATCAAACACGCAGTTCCGCATGTTTCCACAACAGCTTTACACAGAAGACAACATAAGACATATGCGTATATTCCTATAATTTACCCTTACATACATATATCTATATATACACACATGCAATATCATAAAGCAAAATATCACCAAGGCCAACCCACTGCAGGATCAAGTTGATGGTCTTTTTGCAACAGAAAGGCGGCTATGGCCATGTGTGATCTCCAAAATTTGTTGACCACATGAAGCTCTTTCGCGCATGGCGTGAATCTGTCGGATGCAAGTTGAGCCGTTGAACTCAACGAACTGAGAAAGCTGCGGATGTGAGCACACGTGGCTGCCCAACAGTTGATCTGTTTGAGGGCCCAATTGCAACAAGAATGACAGGATCCAACTTCCAAGCTTGAAGTCTAACACACTCGAACTCTCGTGCCAATTGAAGATCGCATCCATCCAACAAGGTGAGGTTGGTCTGACTTGACGCATGCAAAGCAAGCAAATAACCCGCCGGGCGGACCAAAGCAAGGTCATCCTGCTCTGCCTGTTCGGCTCTCTCATGATTTAGCACCGTGCTTTTGTAATCTTTTGTAATCGGAACTGGTAGGAAGACTTAGGAGGTGCAGCGCAAGGCGGTTCTGAGAGTACTCTGCCTCAGGAACATCAACAATAATTTATCCACCCGTCTTACATTTGTTGCTGCGGTATTTTGTGGATTTTTGGATGTAATCATACTGCTGTAGAGTGGACTCTGTGTCTAAAATCCTGCTCGCTGAGTTTCTTCCAGGAAGTGTGGATGACATGCTCCAATTTAAGCGTGATATGTGCTGAGCAAGAGTTAGTCTAAGTCTAAGTGTGCACAGCTGCAAGTACTTGAACATAAGTGTGGACCCTTTAGTGAATACATGTCGCGAGGCCCCACTTCTGAATTCTGGTGACCTTTCCGTGCCTGTGAAGGCCCAATCAAGGTCGTGAGCTTCATATCGTCCCCAAGGTTTGCAATGATGCCACCAGATCTTGGATGTGGATGGATGTGGTAATGACTGTTGATCAGGGTGACTTGTTGATCGCTTCAGGTCGTTTTGCACCTCGCATCTTCCGTGGTACCAGACCAAGCGGACACAACAGTTGTCTTTTGCAAAACATTTTCAGACTAGTAACAAGAAGCTAGTAGTAACAGGGTGCATCGCTACTAGGAGCAAGGGCATCGCTACTAGTAACAAGAAACTACTAGTAGCGTCCTTGCTACCAGTAGTAATGCCCATGTTGCCAGTAGCGATGCCCTTGTTACTACGTTTGTGAGCTCATACATCCACAGAAGACTGCAGAAGCTCGAAAGTGGATGCAACTCTGATCTCTTGCAAAGCTTGAATGAGTGCTTGCACTTCTACCTGTACAGCTTCTCTACCGGTAGCTAGTTCAACTTGGACAAGTCATGAAGGGCATACGAGTGGCGTCATGTCTCTTAGTGGTTGCTTATCCAAATCTCCGAGTCTCAGACTTGTCAGGCTTTCCAATGAGGTGGGGCCCATCCTTGGGGCCAATCAGTGCTGCCTGGCGCCAATGGCTGAATTGAGCAGAAGAATCGGCTGAAAAAACACATTGAAAAACAACAGGCGATGGCAATACCCGAAGAATACATGAAGTGGAATGGTTTGGCATGCAGAAGTGGATTGAGTTTGTAGAATTGCATCTCTTCAACTGTCAATTTCTAGCTTTGTGAGGCCGCACCAGCGCAGAGTCATCGGATTGCAGCGCGTCTTGCGGCGATCCTGCAACTGTTGGAAGCCAAATTATCAAACAAACCCCGCCACGTTGGGGTCCCCAAGACATGAGCATCCTTGTGAATTGTCAGATTCTAGCCACGCCAAATCACGAAACTTCAAAAGCAACGAGGCATAACGAGGCAGACAAGGCACACTTTTAACTAGTGCACCTCTGGCGAATATGACAAACACCGAACGCAGCTTGCTCATCCTTCTGAGAGGCCCAAGCGCGGGGTAGTGCGGCCTCCGACAAAGTGGAGTCTTCAAGACTTTTCATTGATCTGGTTAAAAGTACACTGGATATCTAAGTGCAAAACCATGTTTAGCTTAAAACACTTTAATAGCTGCAACTCATCGAGTTTTTCCAACCTCTACAATCAACGACCTGTGTGAAGCAGCTCTGATATGTAATCCTTTGCTGCATTTGTGTAGGATTTCAGGTAGGTGTACGAGCCGCGCTTGGAATAAAAGGGAGTAGTGTAGTAATTGTAGTATCAAATGAAGGCCTATATTCTTTGAACGCCGAAGGGACAATGTAGGATATTTTCTGGACGTACGTATACCATTACAGTATATTGTAATAATATGTCGTATATATCTGGTTGCCATTTCATAATCGGTCTTGGCTGCTTTCCAACTTGCTCGGATTTGGCATACCAAAGGGGTCAGTGTGTGCCAAGAAGCTACACGTCAGCAAAAACAGATTTGGTGAACTAGGTTCTGCTTCCTGAAGCTCCACCCCGCTTGTATCAAACAACAATAATTAACTGACATGGCATCGCTGAAGTTGTCATCCTGAGAAGCCAATGCCGCGAAGACAGCCAAGCAGTTGTACATGAGTTGAGCTTGGAGTTCGCTTCCCACCATAGCCTGTGAATCCATACATAAGAAGCTACTAGTAACAAGGGCATCGCTACTAGCAACAAGGGCCTTACTACTAGTAACAAGAAGCTAGTAGGAAACAAGAATTAACAATTAAGTCTAATTTAATTAGTTTAATTAGAATTAAAAGTTACCAGTTACCGAACAACACCCCAAAGTCCGTTCATATCGGTCGTGGTAATACGCAGGCTATCACCACAAACAAACACTTGTGCCGGGAAGCCTTCTGATGCAACAGAGTCACCGACAATGGCATGCAACCTGGTGTGTGAGCATGCTGTGAGCATGCTTGAAACAATTACTGCGCTACAAAGGAAGGGAAAAGCAACCAATATCAACCTGACCTTATCTGTCTTATCTTATGTGGAAAAAACATGAAAAAAAACAGGTCGAGTTGGTATGTACGGTATGTTCAAAGAACATGCAACCCGCCTTAAAAGGTCACCAGCCGATTATACAAAGCGCAATATAAAAACAAGCACCAGGCGGGCCTTTCGTCATCTTCAATGGCACCAATATCCAAAGGAGGCGGCTGATCCCGAGGAAGCAAAAGCCTTCAGTATCTTCAAACTGCAAATCAGCATTAATGGTGCACTGGTCCAACATGCCCTTCCATGAGTTGAAGTTGATGCTTGTGTCTGGTTGGATATGATTGCACTGAAATGATTGTATTGGAATTGGGTTTACCTGGAACTGGTGCAGAAATTAGTATAGACATGTTGGAGGAGCTAGAAGCTCGATACTCAATCGTGCCATTGATATCCGTCACTGACGACTATAGTCTGTCAGTCGAGTGTTGCACTCCTGAGTTTCTGGCTCTTGAACCCTGCCCTCCATGGCCAAGCATTGGCTGAGTCTCTCCACTTGTCGCAGCTAATTCGGATCCGGTCCTAAATGCCACCTGCTTGACTTTGATTGACTTTGGCTTCACAATTTGAAGGCTGCCGTGGACACACTTGCTGCTTTTTCCAAATGGAACTTGCTTGCCGGTTCTTTGCTCGTTTGGGAATAATCCAGCATATCAACACCGTTCTTGAGTTTGTTTTGGCTCTAATTTGTCTTGCCATTCTAAAGCTCTTATGTATAAAATTAAAGCAAGACCCTTCAATAATTACCTCAAGCTGATTCAGCTTCCTTCATCAGGCCCAAGAAAGCCTCCTTTGCATGTCTACCCTGCGGATTGGTAAAGCGGGCAGTTCACAGATCAGACTGATATGACCTCATCATACTTCATCAATCGACTCATCAATGCAATCTGCATTCGAATGAGAAACCACCTTCTAAAAGAACAACCTGCGAGACCAATGGAAAATGCCTCCCCCAAAAGGCTTCACATTAACACTCCCCAACGCCTTGAGGAGGTCCAACTGAAGGGCCTTGGCATCTTTGGCCATGGATTTGAATGCATCGATTGCAGCTTGAGTGCCTCGGGAGCAAGCGAACCATGCACATCCTAAAAGCTAGCACAGGGTGGAGCCAGGATTAGCCAAGCACAGGTGACTGAAAAAGGCAAACTCTGATTGACCGGCGCCGAGGACAAATACATCCCACACGGGGCCCATTCACAAGGTTCAAACGTCGACAACTGGCAAAGTGAAAGCCAAGCAAGCCCTGTCTAAAAAAGACTCCAACATGCATACGTGAAAAAGTTGAATTGGGATACTGTTTGATAACTAACACGCCGTGTTGGATATTTATTCTGCATTATTCGGCTTTCAGTTTAGTGTTGTGGGCAGAACGTCAATCCATGGTTTGCTGATGGAACTATTCTGAAGGTGCACCCTGGGAACAAGCCACAAAGGCTCATGTATTATGGCAGTATGGTCCACACCTCCAACAATGAAGCTGCACTTGTGGAGGTAGCAACTGACATCACACACCTCCAACAAATGACTGAGGACTCAAAACAACTTTGACTTCCTACCAAAGCAGCCTGCTATGATCAGCATCAAGAACCTGCGACATGGTTATACAACGGGAGATATTCCTTGCTTTGCCACGTGTTGACACTGCACCACAACACGTAGTGAATTTAAGACTTGCATCGGAAGAAAGCTGGGACCTGGAATCAAGCACAACAGGCCCTGGATCTGGAAAACCTTGTGACTGAATCCAAACCATCCAAAACAACTGATTCCACATGCCGACCTTTGTCCAGAGCAACACAACGAAACGGGTGGAGGAAATTCAATTCTGCATCACGAGGTCACAGGTGGGGTACAATGAATACTGATGAGTACTGCAGCCCTTTTCGGTGCAATGCGCATTTAGAGTACACAATCCTGCGAAAAAAGAGTGAAAGTACGATGAACCAGGTACTAGTACTGTTCAGAAAGCGAACTGTCTGTGCAAAACAGCAGTGAATGAAAGCAGCTCAAATAGCTCTAGTTCCCTTTGGTCAATCTACAGGAAAACCAGCGGGCCACTACATACAATCATGAAGCATCTAGTGAATCTCTTGTAGCGACTGTCTGATTCCAAGAAGGCCTCATTTGGAGCGATCCTTTGCGCTTTGAGGCACAGCTCAAGAACCTCTCGAAGCCGTTCCTTTCCCGTCCCCAGCAGCATCTGACACCATCACGGCTTCTAACACTGGGAATGCTATGGAATGCTGGCGTCTGTTACCTAGTGAAAATCTTACGGTCGGAGGAAGTGCCACTACAGTTGCACGGTGTTCCACATCCGTTCGTGGTTGGAATCACATTTGTTTGAACCCCAATGCCTTTGGCTCATCCAAGCCAACAACAAGCAGGCTGGCCTTCGCTCGGCGGCCGAGCAAAAGCATGCTACAGGACATAAGCATGAAATAGCCAAATCGGTCAAGAAATGTCAACATTACTTGGCTCTATCAGTGCAGTGAAAGCAAAAGGGCTGGCCATTTTGCAGTGTCTTCGCGGAGAAAGGAAGTCCTTGTCAATGTCAATAATTTCTTTGAGCCCTGCACATGTCATGTCTCGAATCAAGTGTGAAGACGGAACCTAACCAGGCGCATACCATGTCCGCACTTCACGCTGCACTCACTTCTTGGGGATGTCTGCCACAGTCTTGGCGGGGGGCAGGATG